TTTTTGGCCAACCTAGTAAAATTGTTATTGTTATTTGTAACAATAACTTTTTAGTTATTGTTATTATTATTTATAACAACGAGATAACAATAACTTCTCACCCCTAGTTTCAGCTACCATTCATCTATTTCATACCATTGAATCTGTATCTTTTAGCACTCCGATTCCTGAAGGAAAACATGTTATGATATCTTATGATTCGAACAGTCAAGAAATTGTATCCAAGATGTATCATTATCTACAGCTCGAACACATACCACTTTGGTTCAATGAACAAAAAGAAACGGCGAACAATCTAAAGAAAAGGTATACTTTTCTGTATTATTTTCCTTTCTATAAACACTGCAATTATTCTGCTCTTATTTTCAGTTTGGCCGAAGGAGTAGAAAATGCTGCAGCCGTTTGTTGTTTCATGACCCCAGATTATCAGAAATCTGAGTTTTGTCAATTCGAATTACAGTATGCACGGAAGCGAAAAAAACGAATCATTCCATGTATGCTTCCTGATATAAAAGTATGGAAGCCTTCTGACTGGCTGAAGCTGCTAATCAAAGACCTCATACCAATCAACTTTCACAACATCTATGAATCATCAGCCATGCAAAGAAAGATAAGAGAACTGATTCATAGAATAGAAGACCAACCTCCAACACCTCATTGTATATCGTCACAAGTAGCTGACGGACCAAGTTATCTATGTGAACTGATTAAATATGAATATAAGCGAAATAGCTGTATTGAGCGTTTCATGAATCCAGCCAAATCTTTTCCAATCGACCAAAGTTACATCAATTTAGCTATGATAGAAACCAAAGAACAGCAAGAGAAAGAGAAGAAGTTAAAGCAACACGACGAACAGAACCGTGCTTCAAAACGGCATAATGATAAGATTCTTGGTACTTATGAAGAGATTTATGGTACAAAAACTGCGATCGATGTGAAGAATATTTTTGATAAATGTAAAGATCAAACAAAGAAAGTACTATTGCTTGGCCGTGCTGGAATAGGAAAATCCACGTTTTGTCAATATGTTACTTACAAATGGGCCAAACGTGAACTTTGGACTCAATATGATATGGTTATCCTGGTTCGATTACGAAAATTGATAGAGAATCGCTACCTATCTGTGCAAAACTACTCACCAGTAGATCTTGTAGAGAAAGAGTATTTTTCGTTTGATGATTTTTCGAATGAAGAAAAACAACAATTTAAAGAACATTGCAATAGTGGTAAAGTTCTATGGATATTAGATGGCTATGATGAGTTTGTACACAAAATCCCAGACAAAGTCGCCGATGCATTCAACTATATTCTTACGAGGCAGCATCATATTTTGACGTCTCGTCCTTATGCTATTGCATTGCCGTACAATGTGCAAATGGAAATAACCGGATTTACAAACGATAATATTGAAAAATATATCGAACAATTCTTCGACCAGATTAAAGACGACATACTAAACGGCTCTTTTGAAGGCCAAAAACTTCTACACTTTTTAAAGCCAAATCCAAGCATTTGGGGTATCGCTCATATACCCGTAAACCTAGAGTTGATTTGCAGCCTTTGGGGTGATACGGATTGGTCAAAAACGAAAACATTGACAATGACGACTCTGTACGATAATATAACAGAATGGCTATGCAAACGACACTTAATAAAACAAAATATTAATTCTACACAAATGAGAAGAAAAAAGCTTTATGATCTTTGCAAAAAAGAGTTACACTTCTTAGAGCTTTTGGCATTCAACGCAATGGAACACAGTGACATAATCTTATCACCGACACTACTCGAGAAGACAGAACTCGACGCTGAGTGTGACTTAGACGATCATCCACAAATACTTAATTTCGGTATTCTTAAATCCTACAATGACATGCCTACTGGTACTCTACATCCAGCAGAACAACAGCACTACTTTATTCATCTTAGCTTCCAAGAATATTTTGCAGCACGCCATTTAATTCGAACTCTCAACAGTCCAGAAAAACAAAAGGCAATCAACTTTATAAACAAACACAAATATAACCGACGTTATCTATATGTCTTGATCTTCGCGTCAGGTCTTCTCGCACAATCCGAAAATAAATCCTGTATGGAAGTGTTTTGGACAACGATACAAGGACCGCCTTTAGATCTTGTTGGATTAACGCACATTAAACTGATCATTGAATGTCTTGATGAATTCGCCGGGCAAACTCATTTTCCACAAATCGCTGATTTAATGGAATCTGTAATAGATTGGCTAGATATATGCATCAGTACAAAGTCCACTGCAATCATCGAAAGTCTACTACAATCGTTCACACGCACCATATCGTTATGCAATAGCTCAACACTACAACAAAAACTATTTCGACTACTTCATACTGAAGAGCAAGAAGCAAAACGCACAGTATACTTTATATTGTCTCAAATACCAATACACCACCCTATGGAAAAACTAGTTTCTAAATTGTGCACAGCAATTCAGCATGAAGATTCAGCTGTCAGATGCGGTGCGTGTAAAGCTCTAGGAGCGATGGGTGAAACAACATCAATGCGTCACGTTATCTCTTCTCTCATCAATGCACTTCTGGATAAAGATTTAAAAGTCAGAGATGCTGCATACAGAGCTCTAGAAGCGATGGGTAAAAGAGCAGCAACGGATGAGGTGATCTCTGCTCTCATCAATGCACTTCTGGATGAAGATTGCGATGTCAGAGAATCTGCGTGCCGAGTCCTTGCAGTGATAGGTGAAAAAGCAGCAACAAATGAGGTGATCTCTGCTCTACTCATTGCACTTCGGGATAAGGATTGCAATGTTAGACAATCTGCGTGCCGAGCCCTTGCAACAATGGGTGAAAAAGCAGCGACAAATGAGGTGATCTCTGCTCTACTCAATGTACGTTGGGTTAAAGATTGGCGCGTCAGAAAATCTGCGTCTGAAGCTCTAGGAGCGATGGGTGGAAAAGCAGCAACAAATGAGGTGCTCTCTTCTCTCATCAATGCACTTCTGGATAAAGATTTAGATGTCAGAAAATATGCGTGTAATGTTTTAGAAGCGATGGGTGAAAAAGCAGCAACAAATGAGGTGATCTCTGCTCTAATCAATGTACTTCGGAATAAAGATGCAGATGTCAGAGAATCTGCGCGTGAAGCTCTAGGAGCGATGGGTGAAACAGCAGCAACAAATGAGATAATCTCTTCTCTCATTAGCGCACTTCGGGATGAAAATGTGGATGTCAGAAAACATGCGTGTAACGTTTTAGAAGCGATGGGTGAAAAAGCAGCAACAAATGAGGTGATCTTTGCTGTCGGCAATGCACTTCGGGATGAACATCCAGATGTCAGACAATCTGCGTGTCAAGTTCTTGGACTGATGGGTGAGAAAGCAGCAACAAATGAGGTGATCTCTTCTCTCATCAATGTACTTTGGGATAAAGTATGGCGCGTCAGAAAATCTGCGTCTGAAGCTCTAAGAGCGATCGGTAAAAACGCAGCAACAAATGAGGTGCTCTCTTCTCTCATCATTGCACTTCGAAATAAAGATGCAGATGTCAGAGAATCTGCGTGTGAAGTTCTAGCAGCGATGGGTGAAAAAGCAGCAACAGATGAGGTAATCTCTGCTCTCGGCAATGCACTTCGGGATGAACATCCAGATGTCAGAGAATATGCGTGTGAAGTTCTAGCAGCGATGGGTGAAAAAGCAGCAACAAATGAGGTGATCTCTTCTCTCATCAATGTACTTCAGGATGAATATTTAGATGTCATTCAATCTGCGTGTAACGCTCTAAAAGCGATGGGTGAAAAAGCAGCAACAGATGAGGTGATCTCTGTTCTCATCAAGGCACTTCGATGTGAAGAATCGCTTGTCAGACAATCTGCGTGTGAAGTTCTTGGACTGATGGGTAAAAAAGCAGCAACGAAGGAAGTGATTTCTTCTCTCATCAATGTACTTCGGGATGAAGAGGAATATGTCAGCGAATATGCATGGGAAGCTCTTGAGCCACTTATGTGTTCTTATCCGGCCATGAAAGAAATAGCCCCGCAAATGTTACGGGAGCTCTATGCTGGTATCCGACAATTTGAAGAAATCAAATTGAGCATTTTGCCGTCGAATCATTTCATCAAACTATATTTGGACACGGAGAATAACGCCTGGCTTCCAATAGTTACATATACTGCATTACTACAAGAGGTTGCTGTGACTATCGTTGAAGAGAAGATTATGATCTATCATATGAGTGAGGTGTCGGAATTAAATGTGCTATCGCCGGAACTGAAGGAAACTTTGGTAAATTCTTTTAAAAATCAGCAGAACGAATTGCGGGAGAACTCTATAGCGTTACATGAAACTGAAGCTAAAATGCTGTAATAATTGTTGTTGCTCTATAATATATGGCACAACTGCGTTATAACGAAATTAAAATAAACTGATATTCTAGAAGGATGTAATTTTACTGATTTTATTTGACTAACCTGCGTCGATTGTTGTGATTGTGAATATGCGTACGTTTTAAATCAGATATATAAATTGAAAGCATGATGCGACATGTTTTGACAGAACGGTGCTGTGGGTATGGATGATTGTGTGGATGTGTTTGAGCGCGGGATGTAGGTTGCGATCTAAGTGTGAGTATTATCTTAATCTACACTCATACCCAGACACACACTCAAGATACTTTTACAGTGCTTACCGTGGAACAATCTGTAGTTTCCTTTCGCTTTTGGTTATCAGGCTGACCGAATTCATTACCTCTTCAACCATATTTAGCTATTTCGACTCTATTCTGCGACGCTCCTGCTAATAGCACAACAACGTTTTCGAATCATTATGTAGTTTATTTGCCAATTTTTTTCAGTAATGGTAAATACAGTTGTTATAACCGTCCAAAATTAATAGGAATCAACACACTGGAATAAACTTTAATTATGTAGAATATTGAAGTTGTCGTCAATGAATGTACATTTTCTACTATTGTTCAATGTCGAAATATGATCGTATCAATTTTGTTGTAAAAAATGTTGTGTTTATCTTGGTTATTCATTAATAAACAATCAATTACAACCAGCTAGAGGATGTGGATATGGATGTACCTTGATTTCATAGCTACCACAACTAATTTTGACTCGGTTAGGAGTCTCACCAGGTAGTAATCGGCTTTTGCATATGATTTTCAATAAAGTATGTAGAAAGGATTGAAGTTTTCTTGAAATTCTTTCAAAAATCCGCAAAAAAGCAGATATTGCTCAAATACAATAGGACGTGTATATAATATTTCAAGACTTATGACGACTATAGTTTTGAGAGATAGTGAATTGTTAATCCTAATGAAAGATGTTGATTATAGATTATGCAGTTAGTATATCTAAGAGAACAGAATATCTATCTATGTAAGAAATGGTTTTTTGTAGTCAGACATATTGTTTATGATGGGTGTTCACTGTCTCAAGACTTTTTTGAAGTACACAGATAAAATTTATATACGTAAATTGCAGAAAAATTGTCAGTAATGTTTTATTTTCAATATGTACTTCCTTGTCTTGATTAGTTTTTAGTCATATCTATTACTGTTCTACCAATAGCAAGACGTACACCTTTTTATTTTTATTGATTTTATGCAACAAATGAGAGACGATTGTCATCATTAACATTAATCTTACCACGAAGCCAAATGTTCTTTGCTATAAAATAGATTCATATTTTATCTTTACGATCTTTAAGTGCATTTATGAGTATTCTATTCGAAATTTAAAAATAAATGTGTCGACAATTCGTGAAGATAATATATATTTGTAAACGAAAATATTTAAAATTCAATAAAATATATAAATAAATATAAGATAAACTATTTCACTTACAAACTAACATGATTTTAATACTATTAAAATAAGCATTCTAGTGTTTTTCTTTTGCCTAACATTGCATAGCATTATTTTCGATTATCTAGTAAACCTTGTTCTACGAATAGACAAAGTCCAAATAATTCTTTTATAAGACAGTATTTTTACGAACAAGATGCTTTAGTAAAGATACATGACTTATTCTGTATAACATACTATACCTTAACAGATCACATTTTATTTTCTGACGATAAAACTATTAAAATAACAATTGTATTGTTTACAACGAAAATATGTGTTTAAATCTTTGAATTATACCATACAAGATAAAATTTAATAATAAAAAAAGCACAACTGATACTGATGTTCTGTTTTTTATTTCGATATAACTTATGAGTAAAACTCTGTTCAATGCGTATGCTAAATTGAAATTGTGATTAATGTAGTTAATTTTAAACTTATTTTTATTTTTAGAATATAGGTATACAATTTTATGCCAAAACTCAAAATCAAAGCAAAGCAGTTTATATTGTATCTTTTTTCTTCTTTTATAAAAGGCGAAATTATACCATAAGAGAAAGAATGAAATCGATAAATACATTCTTTTGCCGCTTACAACTGTACATTTCTAATAATAGTATGGATACATGTGAATTTTATTATATTCGACAACGAGATAATTTGCCAATGCAAGCTGTAAGTATTAAGAAATCATAGCTCGAACTTTAGATAGAGTACGGTGGTTTCAAAAACTACACGAAAACACCGTACTCAATTGATAGTACATTCGTAATTGATCAGCGAGGGATGAAATCAATAGAGCTCGTCAAGCTCGATCTTGATCCACTTTCTGTGGGAATCGGCTCAAGAAATACTCAAATCTGATCCTAAAGTATTCTTTTTTTACTTTTGCAAACACATACGAATACGTAAAGTTATTTCATTGACAGAGTTTGTCGAAAGATGTCGCTTAACATCAATATAATTATATTATTATTTTTTTCATAAATATATTAAATAAAAATGAAAGTGATTCATAAAAATATATGATCCTATCCTATGAAAGTATAATAAAAATAAAGCTGATCAAGAATAAATTTTGATTGCTCGACTTATGTCTTTTCTCTAAATGATGAATGAGTCATCGAAACCCAATATTAAAAATTTTAAATGTTCATTTTGAAATTCATTATTCTAATAGATTATTAGATTCTATTCTTTTGTCCTCGACAATATTTCATTTTAATTACATTTCTCATATGAATATATGTAATTAACATAGCTGAAAATATATAGTTGTAGTGAACATGTCTTTCTTTTCTTGTTTTTTCTAGATTTGGTTGTTTTGTTGTAGTATTAATATCTGAATCTGATTTTAATGGCGGCAACTTCTGATGAAATCGTATCTGTTCCATCTCTTATATCAAATAATGGTAATTCATCTCATACTAATGGTAATAATGGTTTGACTGCATCAGGTATAAATTCATATTATTTGAATATTGTATTTTATTGTTTTTTATAGTCGATCCAATAGCTACGTTTGCTTGGGGTAATTATTTAAAAACAACTAATTCACATGCTGCTCCTGTTAGTTATTTTCATCATGTAAATTTTATAAAATAAATAATTTTTTTCATTTAATCAATGGTTTCTTTTTTATTTAGGCACCATTACACAATATGTGGGCACAATTAACACCAGGAATGAAAATTGAAGTAATTAATACAGATTGTGGTAGTAATCCAAGTGAAATCAAAGAGAAAGTGTTTTGGTTTGCATTTATCGTACGAGTAGAAGGTTATTTAGCATTATTACGTTATGAAGGATGTGAAGATGATTCATCAATGGATTTTTGGTATAATTTATGTAATAAAGATGTTCATTGTGTTGGTTGGTGTGGACAAAATGGAGTTAAATTAGCACCACCAAGAAGTAAAACAAAGAAAACGGGATGTTTCGTTTTTTATTTTCAAATATTTTTTCTCTTTTATTCAAGCTATTGAACATCGTCAAACTGATTGGAAAACATTTCTTATTAATAAACTTGTTGGATCAAAAACATTACCTGATAATTTTCGTCAAAAAGTATAGCAACCAAAAAACGTCAATAGAATATTTTAATAATAATAATTTTTTTGTTTCAATAGATACAATTATCACTTCGATGTTCATTTAAAAGAAATATGATTGTTGAAGTTATTGATAAATATCGTGTATCAAATATGCGCGTAGGAAAAATAACAGAAGTGGTATGTTATTAAAGAAAATAATTAGTTAATGTTTCTATTTTAATATTTTAGATTGGTGGCCGATTAAAAATTAATTACGAAAATGTAATGCTATACATTGAATCAATAACTTTTTTTTTTAAAAACTTTCGTATATTTAGACTTCTGGTGAACATTTTTGGGTACATCATACATCGGAATTAATTCATCCAGTAGGTTGGTCACATATGATTGGACATGAATTAGAAGCAACTGATGGTAAGATTATATATATTATTTATTGTTATAAGATATAGTTTTTTTGTTATTATTTAGAATATAAAACTGAAGCAGCAAAAATGGTGGAGATGCAAACTTATCCAAGTAATGTTGCAACTGTCGATCTTTTTCATCATGTAAGAAAAAAAAAGCAGAATTAAAAATTTACTTATTGATAATAAAAATGGATTCTTTAGGTTCAAATACCTGCATCAGATGATGAACAATTTAAGGAAGGTCAGAAATTAGAAGCAGTTGATCCATTAGAAATGTCTCGTATTTGTCCAGCAACTGTTGGTAAAGTAAGTTATCACAAATTCGTAATTATTTAATTAAAACAAAGTATTCAAATCTAAGTTATCGATTCATTTGAAAAGGGATATATTAGTTTGCCAAGCTCATTTTAATCATATAAAGATTTAATTAGAAAAATTGGGAATGTCATTTTTCGAAGTTTCATGGCCTTCAGATTTCAGAAATGTTTAAAACTGAGAATAATGTTTTACAAAAATTATGAGCAAATGCAGTTATTGAAAGTATCATATTTTATAAGTTATAATAATAAATTCGTAGAAGATGATTAATAAGAGTGATACAATCGTGAAGTGAAGGAATCAAAAAACACATTTTCATGACTTCGTCTAAATTTAATGTGAAAAAATCTTTATTATTTTTTATTCTTAGGTACTTAAAGATGGTTATTTTATGTTATCCATTGATGGATCCAATGTTGAAGATGGTTCTGATTGGTTTTGTTATCATTTAAGTTCACGTTTGATTTTTCCAATTAATTTCTGCAAACTTAATAACATTCCATTATCACCACCGATTGGTAGATTATCTTAATAGATTTATTTATTTGTATTTGTTTTCTTGTTTCTAGGTTATCATGGTGATTTTCAATGGAATAAATATTTACTTGAAACAAATTCAGTATATGCACCACAAGATCTTTTCCAAATAATTAAAGTATTTCATTTAAACTATAAATTAATCGATTGTACTTGATTATTTTTTAGAAAAAAACAATCAATCCATTTTCTGTTGGAATGAAAATTGAAGCTGTTGATATGATGGCACCGCATTTAGTATGTGTAGCTACAATTGCTGAAGTAGCCGACAGTCTTATTCGTATTCGTTTCGATGGATGGGGTGAAGATTTTGAACAATGGATTGATTGTCAATCCCCCAATATTTATCCAATTGGTTGGTGTGAACTTGTTGGTTATAAATTAGAACCACCGAAACAACCTGAACAAGAAAATTCAGGTAGAATTTATTTCAAAATAAAAACTAAATAAGAAAATTTTTTCCGTTTAGAATCAGTAAAAACTCGTACAAAAAAATCAACAAATCGAAAGTCAAATAAACGAAAACGACTTACATAAAAATTATTTAATCAAAATTAAGGTAGAATCCTTTTTTTTGATCAAAATCGAATACTAATCGAAATATATTTTTAAATTCATATTGTTTAAATAAAAGCTTCCACACGACAATCAATCTCACAGACAGAGTCTAACTAAGCATAACATCTGCGTTTCTCGATTCGATTCCGCGTATAATTCTAATACTATATTATATAACCTGAAGATCTACACGAAAGAATTCATTTTATATTAAATTAATTGTTTTCTCTTTTAATTTATATTTAGCTTGTATCACATACACATTCAATGACGTCATGACCGGCATTTGTTTTGACCTAATCGCATTTGTGAAGCGAATGTATATAGATTATGATTGTTTGTAAATGTAGTACTGACGAAGAAACTTGTCTTTCATTTTTTCTGTCCTGATTTTCTATTTGTATGTATATGCATATGTTTTCATTAAAAAGTAGCAAATAGAAGAAATATATATATTACTTCCATAGTTTTGTTTATGATTATATATTTCATGTAGAACACAGGTGCTTTGTTTTCTTCGTCATTAGTCGGTTTTTATTCTGTGATGTACTTGAATATGTATGTGTGTGTGTGTATGTGTGTGTGTATGGTTCATATTAGGGATTGAAGTTAGTCAAATGACAACTCATTTAATGACTTCTCTTTTGTCTGTCTGATTTCTTCTTGTGTTCTCTCAATAGAACAGTACTCGATACTGCGAGAGACAACTATTGTATGTTTGTTTTCTTTCTCTTTACTATTATCTCTCATTTTGTTTAGTGGATATAGTAGGATTATGATTGTTTAGAGTGAAACATCAAAAAATAAAGATAAAAATCATAGTGAATAATTATGAATAGATATCGAAGCAAAACACATAATTCAATATATCGATAGATAATTAAATTTTCAATTGATATCAAGATTAAATATATGCATTAATTCAATAAGTTCTTCCAAGGGAAATATCAAACAGACTCGAGAAATAATAAATGAAATATAAAGATATTTATATTCACGATTGCTCTTAATCAAACTATGAACAACTCTATGTAAAAGTAAATAACATCTTTCATAGATAACACAAAGGTGTTCAAGAGCAAACATGTTGTTTTCTTGACCACACTAAATAAAATCAATAGTTCATATCTTTTTCTTGCTAGTTGATGTTATCGAATATATCGTTTAGAAGCCCAATGATTAGTATATCTAGAAACAATAGCTGCCAGATATCAAATCAGTTCAGTTGCAATTTCAATGATTCTCTTGTGGATACATTCTAGAATATCACTTTGTGTTAATGATTTAATCAAAACAAATATAATTATTAAAATGAGAGGAATAACACAATATTATCAAATGAAAGTATGTA